AATCAATTATAAAGAGACTTTCTCTTTGGTTTCTTTGAAAGACTCTTTTAGAACTATAATGACATTAGTAGCATATTTCAATCTTGAGTTATATCAGATGGATTTAATACAGCGTTTCTCAATGGTAAAATTGATGAAACAATTTACATTGTACAATAAAAAAACTTTGTATCAGATGATGCAAAGAAAATGATTTGTAAACTAAAAAAAAAAATCAATCTATAGACTCAAACAAGCGTCTTGTCAATAGTATTACAAGTTTCATCAAGTAATCATCTCATTTGGTTTTGAGATGAATTTGGTCGATGATTGTATATACCACAAGTTCAATGGAAGCAAGTATATTTTTCTGGTTTTATATGTCGATGACATATTGCTTGTCAACAACGATATATACTTATTACACAAGACCAAGAAATTTCTAGCAAAGAATCTTGAGATGAAAGATCTTGGTGATGCCTCTTTTGTATTAGGAACACAGATACACCGGGATCGTTCTCGGGATATTCTTGGATTATCAACAAAGAGCTATATCGAAAATGTTCTTAAAAGATATAGCATGTAAGATTATAAACCACGTGACACCCCTGTGGCTAAAGGAGACAAGTTCAGTTTAAATCAATGCCCTAAAAATGACTTGGAAATTAAAGAAATGCAAAAGATTCTTTATTCTTCAGCTATAGGGATCTGATGTATGTTCAGGTTTGTACGCGTCCGAATATAGCGTATATTATTGGGATGCTAGGGAAATATATAAGTGACCCGAGAATGGATCATTAGAAAGCAGCCAAACTGGTCATACGATATTTATAGAGAACAAAAGACTATATGTTCACATACAGAAGATCGGATCAGTTGGAGATCATCAGTTATTCTGATTCCGATTTCGTGGGATGCCAAGATAGTAGGAGATCTACTGCTATGAGGTATCAAATAATGGAATATGGCTGCGTAATTTTGTCACTGGGCTGCATAGTGATCAGCGAGTGGAGACGAAAGGGGCCAGGACCGATTAGTCTCCCCACGCTATTAGGCACCTTTGGTCTAGGCTTCGACCCCAAAGGCCACTTTGGATTGAGAACGTCCCACTGTGGATTCATAGATTGAATTTTCTAAAATCTCAACGTGGGATGGATGAGGTTTGGAACCCTCGTCGGAGCCCGTTCTCAATGCTTCTCCGATCCGAAAGTTCTCGCGATTGTGGACAATGTAGAAAGACCGCTGAAGGTATTTTGTGACAATAAATCAGCAGTGTTATATTCCAATAATAGCAGGAGTTTAACGAAGTTGAAACATATAGAGATCAAGTTCCTCGCTACTAAAGAAAGAGTTCAGAGTGGACAGGTGTCAATAGAGCACATTAAGATAAACTCCATGATTTCGGATCCGCTTACCAAGGGATTGATACCCAAGGTCTTTCATGAACACACTGCTCATATGAGTGTAATGTTTCTTGAGGATATTTAGTTTTAGTAGGAGTTTGCATTTTGTGCTAGACACAAATACTGTCATTTTGGATATGGTTTAAGGTTAAATAAATTTTCAATTTTAAAGTTTTGGTTTATTATCTTTGAATTTATTTGAAAATGATCTCACTAAGATATTAAGGTGGACCAGTTGAAAATATGCATGTTACAGATCACATTACATGTAATTTCCATGCAACACATCCATGCTTGATTTATGTCATTTGGTTATATTGATATACGTGACCATTGATGGGTTTAACTACAATGAATGTAACGAAAGCCACTTTGATCTTATGTTGATATGATTGATAGACGGGATTTTTAGGGGATGCATTCAGTAATGATAGCAAAATTTTGAGTATTCAAGAGGTTATATTTAATGTACAATTATAAGGTGACACATATAGCCCAAGTCGGTGATTGTAAGGAATTTTAATCGATCATGTGGGCTTGTATGTGTGAATAATTGTGTGTTAAACTAAAGGCTATTGAATTCGGTTGAGCCCATTTAAAGTTATCTAATAAGGATTCGATTTTGGGTTTTAATGCATCCAATTAAAGTATGAGTTTATTTTATGTGTAGAGACTGAGCCCAAGTTCCTAATTCTATGATGAGCCGAATTAGGTAAAATGGCATATATATATGTATACATATATAAATGGTTATAGTCCTCGAATCACACGTAGAGTACGTATTGTTCATTCTCTTTTGTATCCCATCACAGAGAGAAAAGGGAGATTACGTGTAGATTTAGAAGACTAAACTCTAGATTCGTCTATTGCAATTAACCATGTCTGATTCAGGTACGCTTCCACTATAATTCTTGAATTTCTTGATGATTCAATATGAAGATCCGGTGATTTAAAGTAATAAATTATCCTACATAACCACCATCAAGAATTTTGTTTTTGCGAAACATTCTAAACAATGCTAATCTGTGTTTTTCATGTTACTGTAAATTGGTGATCATTCTCTTGCATTTTGGGTCGTACTCTTATTACGACAATTTCATAGATGAATAACATAGAAATGGAACTTCCAATTTATAGGAGATTCCAAGTGAAATGAGTTCGACCCCAATATTCTCATAGAATTCATCTTTAGAAGCTGCATCTACAAAAAGACAATAATCATACTTACATCCTTTGAATCTTTCAATAAACGTAGTAATGAGTGGGATAGAGGGACGAATAACAGTTTTAAAAAGCGTGCATAGTATGAAATTTGATATTAATGTCTTGTCACACTTTCTACTTTAGGCCTGCTTAAGTTCATCAAAGCTTGAAAAAACACACAAAATGGCTATTCATCCTACTAAAAAGTAAAAAAAACACAAAACTTCACGCTTTAGCCGTTTTCTTTTGCGGACAACTTAATGTTGTTAGAGTTAGACCTTTGATCAATTTATGAATTTGATTTGCATCCATTTTACGGTGCAATACAAATTTATCAATTTATTTTTTCGATTTTTAAAATAATCATCCTTTTTCGCTTAGCATGGCAATGTGTATTGAAGTTTTACGAAAAACTGAAGATTCAACTAATCATAACCCGAATCACAATCACCGCACATTAAAACACTCACTTAATTGTAGCCGTCCAGTAATAAAAAAGAAGAAGCATCACTTACCAATGAAGTTGTGCAGGAGATATATTATTTATGCTAATGAAAGTTTTGATTCTTTGGGGATAAAAAGGAAAGTAGATTTTGTATATTGACAACGTGAAAGAGGATCTATGTTTGATTTTTGTGTCCCTGGGGCATAGTTCAGTGGTGCAAAAGATAGGAGTAATGTTATCTCACACCTTACTGACAGTCGTAGTGTGGGGGGGTTCGATTCTTGAGACATGGAATTTGACTTCTTGTAAGCGCAGTGTACAGACAGTTCTTGTTCCTTGACTTGTTGGGGTACATCCTGTGATTTACCTCCTTCACAAAGCTCTAAGAACGGAATGGTGAGTGCCCTCAAGATTGAGGTTCAACCTTTTTCTTTTTTATGTTTGATTTTTGTTCTAAATGCATCCCCAAAAGTTTGCAATGATGGTTCATATATTGTTAGTTTATTTGACCACGAATGTGGTTGTTGAACTAAATGTCAAGAAATATTGACATTTGTATCTCATACAAAAAGTTTGTTAATATGTGTCGACCATTTCCATATCCTTCAAGGTGGAGAATGTGATTCATTATTTTTCGGTGTTCTTTTTTCTTCATCGAATCATTGCAAAGTAGAAATGGTTATTGATGAGGATTTAGTAGCCGTCCTTGTCATTATTTAATACAGAATTGAAGCATACAAATGTTTTGAGTTTTAGTTTTCCATTGCTCATTTTTTCTTTCCAAAAATATGATTTCAATCATATTTAATGAAAAATATGTAAACTACACCAACAACCAAAGCTATTCAATAAATCTTGAGTCTTTATATTTTCAATCATACTTTGTCACGTAACATTACATCATTGGACAATTTAAAAAGAAAATGGGTTTTCGTCCAATCATTTGTGAACAACATGGTAATGACAACCTAGGCGTTAAAGAAAAGGAGTGTACAAGTGACATTATCCTAATATTTATTAATTGTCCCATTCAATTCATTGTTAGATTTACTGAAAGATGTAAAGTCACTATATCCTTTATATGTTTTACCGAGTTTGCTTATATTAAACATGTATAGTTTAAATCTTATTGGCGATTATATAGTTGGAATAATATTACCAAGTCGGTAGAATTAAGCCCATGTTTGATCCCTATTAAACTAAATTACATTACATTCCATTTTTCTCTCTCTTATTTTCAACCACACAATCTTTCATAAAATAATATTACATTCCATTTTTCTCTCTCTTATTTTCAACCACACAATCTTTCATAAAATAATATTACACGTAAATCGAAAAATTTTCCTTCTTTTTCAACCACTCATTTTTCTAAAAAATAATATTCCTCCCATTTCCTTTTTCAGGTAATGGGGATCAAATACGGGCTAAATAAAGTCTCTCGTTCATGAGCATGATGCAGTCCCATTAAACATATATCTCAAGAAAGAGAGAGATGACTTATTTTTCAAGCCTCACAAATATATAACATTATCCAAACAATAGAGAGGGCCCATGTGTAAGACAATTTTGTAATTCCAGTAAAGTATAGCTAAAGCTTTAGTTTAGTAATACCATCATGATGCACAAATTCATTGTGAAGCAAATGCTGCTTTTTCTCAATTTAATAATTAATTATAAGCATAATACGGGTTCGTTCGATTCATGTCTAGTTTGCACTATCGAATAACATGATTATGAAATTTTATTAACTTTTCTATTTCAATATTATCTAGCCATACATACCAAGTACACATTAATCTGTATGCACAAGATTGAAAAAAGATCAAGACTCATGATAAATTGTTCAATAATGTCCAATTGAACATACCGAACATACTACGAACAGTGTTATAAGAAAGTCCTGAATTTTCAAATATCCATACAATATATTCAAAAACTCAAAAAAAAAATATATATATGTTATGCTTTTAATTAATAAAATAACGTAGATTTCTATACAAATGTCCGAGAAAATTGTGCTTTACAATCTGTGATGCATTGGCCAAATGTAAAGTATTGTGAGTTGAATAAAGCAGCTTGGCCAAGGCCACATGGGCCATACAGCAGATCTCTTGTGAATTATATGCAAAGAAAAGAGAGTATGAAAAAGGTTACAGAAAGAGTAAAATGCAAGTCAACATTTAATATGGTTCTTGAAGAATCTCCGGTGACAAAATTTGGCAGCCATGATGAAGGGAGGCTGTTGTCTTGTGAGTCAGAACCCGAACCCTCAACTATCAGTGCCGGTGGTTCATTGGTTGTTCCGATAGCAGTTTCCGGCGAGGAAGAATTTCTTGAAGATTTTTGACTGCATGCATAAAAATTGTAAGAAAATACATCATCTAATGTACCATAGCAACAGAAATACGAAAGGGTTGGTAATTTTTCAAAATTACACTTTTTACTTACAAATTTTGCTTTTTCTCATCGTCTCAATTTACCTTGTTAGTGAAGGACAAAATGTAATTGTATAATCGGCTCCACTACATGTAAATGTGCTTGTAGCATCATCGTATGCATAGCTATATGATCGTGGACATGCGGTTTTGAAAATCTCCGAGTAAACCGAAGGCCGACAGGCGGTGGGTGAACCATACGCGCCACTGCAACAGTATTCTGGATTCCCAAACGCTTCACATGCACTCTTGCATGCTTGCCCGTCCCCAACCCGCAAGTCATTCGGGCACATCTGGTTCAAATCGGTTGTGCAACCGGTTGAACCGCACGGGCCCGTCCCGTCTTTCGCCTGAACCATCATCGGCAAATTGTACCCGTCAACAAGGCTAACATCGTAGAAATCCTGGGCGCCTGAATTCGTACCCGATCCGATCATGAATTCGGCTAGTGTCGCCGGCGGTGTTGCACCTGCGCCATTGCATTCCACCTGGTTGGAGCTGCAATCACCGGTGGCGCAACTTCCTTGACCGGTATTGGGGTCAAATGAGCAACGGGTTCTGCCCCAGAACCGCCCCGACCAGCCCGGCGGAGCTTGGAAGGATCGGGTCCCACCCGACGGAAGTTCGAATCCGGTACTATCCAATTTATCACTACCCGCATTTGCCAGTATTCCTGGCCATACTGCATAATCACATCGATTTGTCAATGTAAATGTAGCCCCTAAACACCCTGAAAAACGAATCCCACAAATTAATACACAATAAAAATGGCAGAAAATGGAAGATTAACAGTAATACCTTTGCAGAAGATTAGTAGGAAAATGAGCGAAATAAAATTGAAATGAGAAATAAAATTCGATGACATTTGGCAGAGATGACTGATCTTTGAAGGTATTATCAAAATTTTAAGGTTTATTTGTGGAAAGAGATGCAGATTATGGGTTTGTAGAGAACTGAAATGCAAATTTAACTAAGTTTTGTAGCCATAAAATCCAGAGGAAGTGGAAGAGAACGAAGGGATCGAGTGAGAAAGCAATTCTTCTGTCCCAATATAAAAAGGTTAAACTCCAACTTTAAGGGTCCCATCGTCCTGTTCCTAGAAATTTGTGAGAAAGTTAAATTACGAGATGTGTTCTAAAAGGACAAGGAACAAGAGCTGCATATACACTATGCCTACAAGAAGTCCAATTTCATATTTCAGAAATCGAACCTCTACATTGCGGCTGCAAGCAAGGTGTGAGACAACCTCACTCCTATCTTTTGCACCACTAGATTATGCCCTGGCGGTTTCTTGAGTCCCTATATATACACACATTTGAATGCGTTTAGTCTTTTTATTTTTTATTTTTTTTTGTGAATTTTACGACAATGTACCATTAATGCCAAAATTAGATAAGACATGGTGACCATTCTTGGAAAAGACTTGGAATTGGGGTTTGGTATTTTGGTAAAAGTCAGAAATGATTATTTTCATTTTTTCCGGTTCTAAAAATATTGTACATTTTCACAGTTTACTTAAAAAAAGGATATGTTTAACTTAATCATCTTGATCATTTAGTCAAACGAGTTCAGTGAAGTTGCATTTTATATACAAAAAGGAATAGTTATTAACTCTGTTCCATCAACCAAACAATGAAGCTTTGAAGCTTGACAAATACTTTACTCAGACAATGTCCTTGTTTGAACCACATTTTAACTGAAAGAATACATTTTTAATTAGTAATTGATGAAAAATGTGTGGTTAAAAATTTAAAAAAAAATTTTAATTTGCGTATAATATAATTTTATTGAAAAATATGGGGTTGAAAATGAGTTTTGAAAAAATAATTTTTTAAAGAATGGGATTCAAACAAAGGCATAATTCATTACAATATAAAACATATTGTTCTAGTATTAATTTCATTAATTGTCGCTTAAATTTGTGTAAAATTATAGACTATCAAAGTAGATTTTTTTATCCTCTTGGTCACTTTATTACGTAGACCCAATTTGAGCCGCATTTAAAAAAAATAAAAATTCTTGAACAATGATTTGATATCATTTCAATCACACATTCTTCAATAAAATAATATTACATACAAATTCAAAAATTTTCCTTATTTTTTAACCATATATTTTCCATCAATATATTATTCCAAAATACATTATTTCAAAATAATATGGCTCAAACACACTTAATACATAGCCCCCGTTTGATTCACATTATTGTAAAAATGAGAATGAAAAATATAGCTGTTATGTGTCTCACACAAGAGATAAAAAATTAAATATGGTGGTTTGATGTAATGGATAATAGTCATATTTTTTATTTTAATAAGGAAATAATAAGGCCCAGGCGGGGTGATAATTTGGTCTGACATATATTGAGCCTGTAAAGATGAAGTATTAGAATATCTTAAAAGGTTAAAAACAAAGTGTCAGGATGGCCGAGTGGTCTAAGGCGCCAGACTCAAGTTCTGGTCCTTGTGAGAGGGCGTGGGTTCAAATCCCACTTCTGACATTCTTTTTAATGTAAAAGAATTTTCATACCCAGTCCCCAAACATTACCGTTTGTCTCACTTGGGTCTTCATTTATTATTTGCTCGCATTTATCTCCCGAACTTTCTTTTCCGATCCATGTAAAAGATAAATCAACTGAAATCAAATAATCAACCCATTCTTTCTGACCTATTATTTTGTGTCAGTCAATTTCTGTGCTCAACAGTTAGAAAAGAACATAAAACAAAGGAATGGCTATAGATATAAAAAAGAAAAAAAAAAAAAAAAAAAAAAGGTT